GGATACTAACATATACACACACACATACATAGTGGATACTTTTTATAGTAAGAAGAATATTAATTAATTGCTTGTTTGTTTCAGATTTTTCGCGCAAAGCTACACAAGGGCTGACTACGCATGACCGTCCATAATTTTAAACGGACAGACTATAGCGAAAGCAGATAGTAGCAGCATTCACCACCAACTGAAACCGTTTTAAACTATTTAACTTCTTAATTTAAATTTAAAGTTAAATTTAGGTTAAAGTTCTTGAGTTAATCTCGTTCTAAGTAAGGTCTTATTAAAATATTTTACTTAAGATCTTACTCAAGATTTCATTTAAAGTTTTAGCAAACTTGCTGGGCTTTACTGCAAGTCTTATTCATTGGTTACCCTAAAAATCTGACTTGTGAATGACTTAAATAAAATTTACAATAATTACAATTCGCTTGCATAACTTGATGCACACAATAACAGATGTCGTTCATGAAAATTGGTGATATACATAACACCTGAACCACTTCTGTATCTGTCATGTCCCAGGATATCTGATTAGCCTAGGCATTTGACGAAAGGCCTCATCGACATATATAGAGTGATTGAAATATTATAGCATACTTTCCTTTGCTTTCACTCATGAGTTCTTAAAATTACATATGCTAACTGGTCTTGCCACTTCAGATTAATTATTTGTTACTTATATACTTAGCAAGAGAGGGCGCTCTTACACAAACTTGCCAAAATTTACACGTGAAGGGCCAGATTCTGAATCTGAGTGAGGTTTATAGGTAATAGTGGTATGTTTGATATATAACTTTTATCAGTTTTAAGCTTAGACTGAAATATAATAAAGATAATTTGTGTTGTTTTTGTAAAAGCATTAAAGTTTATATTGTTTAATTTTATATTTTAGTTTTCACTCTATTTTTTTTATCAAGACAGACGTTAGTACTTGTATCTTAGCGAGTACACTAGCAATGCTTTGCTAGTGTTACTAAGTAAAGGTAGTTACAGTTACTACTGCTAGTGTTCGTTGTCATTCTTCTCGCTCTAATATTAGACGATCGGTGTACTGAAACTATTTATGAATGTAATCTGGCCTAATTGTTAACATGTTCAAAAGAGTTTGGTAAGTTGGTACCATTACTAGCACTACTGAGTACTATTAGTATTACTAATACACTGATACTAATAGTAATACTAGTATAGTAGTAATAGTACTACTGACTAGTTGTAACTTGTACTGTGTAGTCATGAATAGGCTGGACTTTAAGTTAAAAGGTGAATTAACTGCAATTAAGCTATTAACCACTGTGGCAGTAATAGATGTTTTTGATTTAGCTATGTAACATTTACTTATATCATGGTAATGACATTGTTACAATACACGAATGTTGAAATTAATATATATTGTATTTTCTAAAAATAACTAATAATTATTGTTAGAGCATATGTATAGAGAGCATTTCACGAACATTATGTGAAGTAGCCATTTGTAAATACAGTTTTGGTATAGCATGTGCATATGTTTGGTTTTTTCATTTACTATTACCATATACTTTTTGTAATACAATTCAATGTACAGAATGTGGGTGTTGTCAAAGTTTTAAAGTTGTTATACTTTTATATTACTTAGAGTTGGATAAATCAGGGTTTGATGTTAGTTATCTTTTATTGTTTTTCAGATTTAATGAATATTATTGCCTGTAAATTAATGTAAATATTCTCATCTCACACTCATAGCATGAAATTATTAAAAATGTTTGTTGGTGGAGTGAGAATAATTTCATGGAACTGTGTGTATTACAACTACTTTATCACAATCCTGAGAAACTAGTACAAAAGGCCTAAATTAACACTTGCTCACACTCAGTGTACCACTTCACATTTTCTTAAATGACAATTTTGATTAGTGGATGAGGTAACATTTACACCCTGATGTCTTTAGCATTTGTACATATACCTGAAAGTCTAATGAATTACTTGAGAGATGTTTCCTAAATTTTGATAAGAGTGTGTGGTATGCCCTCTTATATTGTCAGCAGAATGAACAAATGATTAAGTAATAAAAATGTTAATACATCCATAATTGAATTAATTTTACTGGTCTGTATTATGCTGAGGTATTGCACTCACTATTAAATTATTTCTTTTGCTACAGTTATTACAAGTCACATTATGTTTCATTTAAACACATTTTGTATTGTAGGAACATAAGAAAAAGCTAGGAGGTACAAGGCCATTTCACTCATTGAGATCATCCCTTATAAAAAAATATCATTAACGTTTGTAATTTCACTAAAATATAGCTCTTCACATCCATATTATAAGTATTTAAAACAAAATATATATATAAGTTGTTGTCAATCTGTGATCTGTTGGCTTTCTTCAAGTAGTCTGTGGAAAGGTTGCATTATTATAGAAAGGAAGCATCAATATAGTCTATGGATCACGTGGTCTGCTGAGATAAAAATAAAAAAAATTCAGATGATCTGCAAACAAAAACTCTTGCGAACCATTGACCTAGATCATATCATCAAGCTAATCATTCAATATGTTTAGAAATATTTTGTTAAAGAACATATATGCACTTATATCTCTAAATCTTAAGCCTATCGTTTTTAATATTCAAGTGCATTTCCAACTTCTCATTTTTGCACTCAAACAGGCCTCTCGTAGGAAGACTATCTACTTTGAACACATGAATCAAGTCCTCCTCATAGTTTAATTAATTATACTTGGAATTATTCCAGCAGTCTGTCTACATTTTGTTCATGTTGATAACCTTCCTCTAATAAGAGGACAAAAAAAAGAGGTCTCACCAGTGTTGTAAGACTATAATAATAATATTGTTCTTAATTCATAATAAAACCAAGAACTCTTATTTGTTCTTTCTACCACAGTTAACCATCAGCAGAAAGATCTAGAGTTTTATGATCAGTTATACCTAAAAACGTTTTTTATCCACAACGTCAATGCTTATTTCTTTCAAGAAGAAAGACATTTTCAAATTTTCATTCTTGAAATGCACAATTTTTTAATATTAAAATTCATCACCAAGTTTGGTTTATTCATCAATATAGTCTAAGCCTGTTTATAACTATGAACCAATCTCAACAGAATCAGCCATTCCCAGAATTTAGTATCATTGGTGAATTTAGAAGTACTACTCAAAAAAAAAAAAAATACATTCAGAGAAATGTAAAACATATCTTCAAACAGAACCCAAAGGTGCCCATTAATCCAATCACAAAAATTACATTTATCATCACTGTTTGCCTTCTACCATATAAACAGTTCTTCTATCCTGTTCTTAACTGTATACCAATCGCTCAAGCATTGAACGTAAGTTTTTAATATCTTTTGAGGCACCTTATCAGTGTCCTTTGATATGAATTCCATCTGTTTTGGATGAGCATATCCTATATGTCATTTATCACTCACTTTCAGAAAATCTTTGACACGCTTGTGAGACAAAAAAACTTTTCTAAACCAATGCTGAAAATCAATACCTAAATGCCAATTTTGCAAATGCTTTTCTGATAAGAGATTTCAACGTATTTTTACAACTTAAATCAAACTAATAGACCGGTGCCTTCCAATATTCTCTCTAGACACTTTTTTTTTTTTAAATGGGATCACATTAGCAATCTTCCTGCAATCAGGAAGTTCCTTGGTGTAAAGAGACTTTTGAGAAAAATAATAATTAAAGCACTTGCATAATAAGGATTCTTTCACCATTCTTAATGGATCTTGATTTTTTTCAGTTAATATAGATTAAAACACTTAAAGTCAGTTAAATTTAATATTTGAACCGAGAAGCGTCTCTTAGCCTTAATGCTAGGTTTTATTTTTTGTTTTATATTTAAACCTTACCCCCTACATTTTGAAAGTGAATTTCATGTTTTTGTATGCTAGGCATTTGTAGTTTATCAGAAGTTTTATTTCCTTCATCATTCATTTAGAAAATTTAAATGTTTGAAGTGAAAAAGTTTCATCTCAGTATCTCAGCAACATTTAACATATTTCCCATTTTTATTAGGCACTCAATCTTTCTCTCTACTAAAGTATCTTGCAGATTTAAGTCCAATTTTCTAAAATCATAATTTGCTACACTTTTGAGTGTGTGTCATGTATTCCTAATACAAAGCAGTAGATTGTCAAATGGGTTAGGCTCTAACATAGATACAGCTATTATATGTATATAAATGTGAATTAGACTTAGAGATGTAGGTTATTTTATGTATCTTATTAGACCTTTGGGTTTTGGGGAAAATATCTCGGAAGTGAAGACCAACATTAGTTTAAGTGTAACACAAAACTCAATTAAAACTTAAGTTTTGAATTATTGTAATAATGAAAATGTGTCCCAATGAAATTTCATTGAAGTTTCAAAATTTAACTTCATATGTGTCTATGATGTGAATTAGGAGCAGTCACTTGATGTATTTGTATAAGAATTGCATTTCACATAGAAAAACTTTAATTCTACTTTACAAAACTTCAAGTTAAGTATATGTATTTTCACTACATATTATCTCTGAATGCTATAAAAATTTGAGCATTAACACTTCTTAAGAGTCACACACAATATAATTGAACCAAGTACTGTATTTGCAGTTTTTGTTGTCATGTGTCTTATTAAATCATTTGATTAATTTTTTCTTCAGTTCATCTTATCTTGTCAAATAAACTTTTGATTTTGAGTAAAGAAAGACGTTTATATATATTCCACTTAGTTGTATTTTTACAAATATATTTTTTGTTGTCAGGCAAGGTTTTTGATGTGGTATTTAGCAATTCTGAGACAGTTGGTTATCAACAAAGTATTACTTTGAGTTTTCTGCATTAAACAAACTTACAGATTTGTTGATGAAAATGATAAATAGAATATCTGTGAAGTTTAGTTAATCACCTTTTTGGCTTCTATCTAAAAATGTTTAATTTATTATTCAGAAAACGTTTTTAATTTTTTAACCATTTTAGAATAAAGAGAAAATATCATATATTTCACAAAGCATCTATCAATACACAAAATAGTTCTGAAAAATCTGAACATTTTAAAACAGTACTGTACAAAACAACTTGACCGACTAGTGTATCAAAAGCAAATTAAAAAGTAGCTCTTCATGTCAGTATATTTGTCCAACAAAGAATTTAAATTACTAGAACACATGTCAAAGTTTTTATTTTATGGAAATACTTAGGGGAAATACAAAATTGCAAAGTTTAGTTTATGTTGAAATATCTGTTTAATTTACTTGGATGACAAAATTATTTCCATCAGGTGTTTGTTTTTGAAAATCTGGCAGGTGTGAAATTAAATCCAGTTAAGTATTTCATGCATAAAAATTTGTAAAACATTTGCAAGTAAATTTAAAAAAAAGTCTTTGCTTATGAAATATTTGTTTTAACAGTATTATTAAACAGTAATAATGTTTTCTATTTAATTAGTTTTATTTGTTAAACTCTCTAACATTGAAATTTACGTGGGTACATACGCACATACACACACACACACATGTATGTTTCTTCATAAGAATTTTTCAAGTTCATTAGTTTTGGAATTATTAACCTTTAAAGTTTAGAAAACTTCACTAATTATTGTATATCTTTTTTCATGCAAATTATTCTGACATATTTTGGAGAAAAACAGTACTAACACATCCACACACACACACAAAGGGACGTGAAAGTAAATGCAGTATTTCTTGTATCGGCTACAATGGCAGATAATAATTATAGTAAAAATAATATCTGAATTTTTAAGTGTTTAATATATCTAAAATTTAATAGCTATGCAACAAATTTTAGACATTTAACTTAAAATTAAAAACAAACCTTTAAAGCAATGAGCCATAAGATTTTGAAAGCTCTAACTAGTGTCTAACATGCAGACACTTTCCATGAATCATTTATTTAAATATGTTTTCAAATATTTGTCTACCAAGATGTTTGACTAAAGTTAAGTTGTTGTTAACAAATATTTTTGTATGTAAACTTTGTGTTTTCTGCTCTTGTAACGTAATATCAAATTTTTTGTATTAAGCTATCCAAACATTTCTCATATTTGACTAGCCTTATTATATACATATTTACACAATTATCTTTCATTTATCATTGTGAGTT